GCAAAACAAATGTGAGTGCGGTAAGCGTGGTGCATAGAAGTGTTTTAGTGTATTTGATTACGAGTCAGATTTAGGTGCCAATAATTAACATAAAAGGAATCTTGCCTGAATATTTCCCCACTTCACATAGATGGTTAAGTTAAATTCAATTGACCGCTGAGTGTGTGTGGGAAGAGAAAGAACATTTTTCATTTCAATGAAATAAAACACACCAGAGAGATTTGTAGGGTTAGTAAGTCTAACATCACATACTAGAAACCAGTGGGAATTGGGATAGGGTGGATTGTAGACACAGAAGCCGAAGTAAGAAGTAAAACATTCATTTTGTGACTTGAACCGCGTTAACCAGCACGTCAAACAAAATCACTTTGCACTGGCCTAAGTTATTGACCGTGATTTGCATTACCTACTTCTGAGGCAAGAATGGCTTGGATGGTGCCTATGAAAAAGAAGACGCTCTATTAGGTTCAAAATTTGAAACTATCTCGTGTTTCTTAAACTATTTGACATTTCAGCTGTCCTTTGCTCTTGATTTACAGACAAAAGAAATGACACCTTTCGTGAAGAGTTGTTTGCTGAAAGACAAGGTGCACTTCCTTCGCACTTTCGCCGATGTTGGTTTCAACATGCACGAATTCGCTACCACGAAGGCTGTCGAAGAATTGTACTCTGTGGAAACTCAACGAAATGTAATGTTACCTGAACATCACGGATTATAATGGTAAAGTGAAGTCACGCTATCTTTGCTTAATTGGATATTTACTTGTAGACGAGTGGAGCGGCTACCTTGAAGGAGTTTCTACTTCATTACCAAGCCAAGGCAAGTTGCTTCTTTTATGCGCATGAGTTGGGGGGGGGGTGGGAGGTGAGGTTAGGGGGAGGATATGGAAGAAGGATGGAGCAATGAGAGATGAATGGAGTGGAAGTGGGTTAGTTACCAAGTCTTATCATTAAACATCAGAACAATTGCTTCCGATTTATTCCTTTTTGTACATATGGGAAAAGATATGTTTTTTTCAAGTGGCAGGCTTTTTGATATTTATTATTAGCTCCTAAACTTTGACTTCAGCTTCCCCCATGGGTGGAGGATATATATATATATATATACATACAGCAGTTAATTAATAGCAGCTTATTAGCTGTCTTCTTCCCATTATCTCTGGCTTTCCGTCGTTGTCTTTAGGGCCGGGCACCGAATCATGTGGGTCTTCTCCATTTCCTCCTATAGGCCATATAGAGGCATGTTGGTTGAGTGTATACTCCTAATCTGTGAAGGTGCTTCGCCAGGCAACCGTGTCCGGTACGTAGTCTAAACTCAGCAACGGCTTCGATTCTTGGCCAGTCGGCTATGTCAGAGAGTACCACTGTCCACTGTTTCTCCTTTGTTCGAGCTTTATGTTCGTTGCACCTTGAGGTCTGGAATTCTCTCCTGATTAAGGCCTTCATTGTGTGGGAAGACATCGGCCGGTATATACCTTGCAAAATTGTTGTCCCCTTCTTATCATGTGCATCAGCAAGATCATTGCCTATAATGCCACAGTGACCAGGGATCCATTGTAGGACCACTGTGTTGTTTTTCTCTCTCAGCAGCTGATAGAGTTTTACATTCCTATATCTCATCTGTTTTGGGTGGCTCTCTGCTTCCAATTGAATTTATTGCTGACTGGAAGGGAGATGTGGAAAAATGAAAACCTATTGATGATGAAATAAATGATGAAGAAATTGAAGAGGTACCAGTCGGCTTTGGCATTCGCTATGATAGCATGCTACCACAGTAAAACTATCAACAATAATTAGTAGATGAGAGCCGAAAACACTTTTACCTAAAGAGAATTGTAAGTTAGAGATCACTGTGACGAAGTAAATACAAGACATTGCTTTGAACTAAGCAATATAATTTATATATGTTCATATATTATCTTAACGCGGTGTTTGGTTCTTTCAGTTACCGACTCGAATCACAATTGAGAGGGTGAAGAAAACTCTGCAGAAGATAATGGGCCACCACTTTCTGACCTACAGTACACAAAGTCATAAACAGCATAATGTCGCGCATCGACAAACCTTCAAAGACATTCATGA